TATGGTCTGGTCAACTTGGCTATAACTTGTAACACCTTGTACATTTCCTGGTAATAACTTGTAATGTCGTGTACATCTATCAGCCGTTGAAATTGTGGACAGCACATCTGGTTATGACTTGCAATACATTACACTACAAATATTTGTAAATTTCAGCACATTAGACTACAGTAAAGTTTTAGCCTTTTATGTTTTTCTGCATCACTTTATTTTAGTACATAACAACCTGTTCCAATAGGCCTACATTTGATTTAAAAGTTTAAACTCCCACACATTATGTAACTTATTCTACACAATACATAACTTTTTTTTTAAACAAATTATGTTGCAACACAATTTTTTTGCTGAGAGATTTAATATTTTTGTGAGCAAGTTAATTTAACAGAAAATGTACATATAGGATTGAATTAGGATATTAAATTACGACTGTGGGACTCGCGGGCTTTGTTGACCATACAGCACATTATACACCCAGTTGTGATTGTAGACCAAAATGTCCTTTACATAGGCCATAACCCATATTTTATACCACAACACTTTATATTACTCCCAGAGTATCAGTGGAAGAAGACTGAAGTCAGCCTTTATTGGGAACATCAAAGTCATTCACAGGGTTGAAGTCATCATTAAAGACAAAAGATTTTGACTGATGAGTTAGGAAACTGGATTTGTTCTATTAACACATCTGCATTTATGCAGTTATCCTAGAGTCCTAGATTATGTGAATGGGGGACATAATTTGTGGAAATTATGTCCCCCAGACTTCATTTTTTTTCATCAACTTGATGAAGTTTCATCAAGTTGTTGATTGTCTTTGTTCTTTGTGGACGACAAATAGAACGACAAAGTTAACTTTGTTTGCTACTATTATTATCAACATTCGTAGTCCTTATGAACAAAATTCAAATCCATTTGTAATGGGGTCTATATTTCAACTTTCGCGCACTTAACTGGCGAGGACTGATGCTTCTTCACGATTGTCTTCCCTTTTAGACATGGTTAATATCAAGCAGTCAGTGTTTACTCCGGAAATGCTCAGCAACAAGCGGAGAGTGTAAATCCCGGACAATATTTCACGCCGGGCAGTGCCTGATGAACTCAGGCGGGCCAGCGAGTTTACATCGGTTCAGTGACGTCAACATTTGCGCATGGCTTATGACGCAGCGGCGGCTTCCTGACGTATGACGCACTGGTGAAATTGGTGGGGCATCCCTGTACGCTCAGTTGTCGCGCTTAGTGCCCACTTCTGTCTTTCGAATCCGTTAGCAGACACGTACCTAAACATGTTCCAGCTCTAGCTATTTTGTATCAAACTACCTCACATTTCGCAATGTGTTTTAAATTATGCTCAAACCCATCCTTATAATAAGCCAATTATGCTTCTCCAGTGTTGGCACCTCATCCATCATGGACCGTGAGATGGGTGCTAAATTAAGAGCTGCGAACTGTGAGTCCTACATTAATAGAGTGACTCAAGGCTCTATTCCAACTAATCTGTGAGTCATGTTTACGTCAAGGTTCTCATCATAACTCTCAGAGCAATGTAATGCAGGTGCCAGGAGGGGGCAATGTGTACTTACCTAGTTGTGCTTGCGGGGGCTGAGCTTCGACTCTTTGGTCCTGCCTCTCAACTGTCAGTCAACTGGTCTACAGATTCCTTAGCCTACTGGGCTCTATCATATCTACATTTGAAACTGTGCATGGAGTTTGCCTCCACCACATCACTGCCTAGTGCATTTCATTTCTAAACTGCCCTGACACTAAAACAGTTCTTTCTAATATCTCTATGGCTCATCTGGGTACTCATTATCCACCTGTGTCCCCTTGTGCACGTGGCCTGTGTTAAATAAACTGCCTTTATCTACCCTATCAATTCCTCTGAGAATCTTGTATGTGGTGATCATGTCTGCCCTAACTCTTGTGTCTTCCAGCAATGAGAGGTTTAGTTCTCGTAGTTCCTACCCCTTAACTCGGGTACTAGTCTGGCGGCATACCTCTAGTCCTTCTCTAATTTAGTCTTGTGCTTGATGAGATACGGACTCCATGTTGGAACTGCATACTCCAGGATTGATCTGACATATGTGGTATACAGGGTCTGAATGATTCCTACACAAGTTTATAAAGGTCATTCTTATGTTGGCCAACTTGCCATATGCTGCTGATGATATCAGCTTGATGTGGGCTTCAGGGGACAGGTCTGGCACAATATCAACCCCCAGGTCTTTCTCACTCTCTGATTCTTGAAGAATTTCATTTCTCAAATGGTACCTTGTATCTGGCCTCCTGATACTCAGGAAGTAAGTAGGTACTCAGGAGTTAGCTTGTTGTTGGGTTGCATCCTGGGTGGGGTCAGTAATTAAACCTTGGGTGAGGGACCTCGATATAAGCTGAATGTGTATGAATACACTGGCTGCCTGTCCCCTGACACAATGAACAAATTATTAATTATTATAATTTGCTTGGGTTAAACTCTAACAGCCATTTATTGGACCATTCCTTCAGTTTCTCCAGGTCATCTTGAAGGCTCATGCTGTCCTCCTGTTTTAATCCTTCTCATAATTTTGGCATTGTCAGCAGATATTGAGAGGAATAAGTCTATACCCTCTGGAAGATCATTTACATATATCAGAAACAAGATAGGTCCAAGTATGTAACCCTGTGGGACTCCACTGGTGACATCACGCCATTCTGAGGTCTCATCTCTCACAGTAACTATCTGCTTCCTATTACTTAGGTATGCCCTTATCCACTGAAGCACCCTACCAGTTATTTTTGTCTGTTTCTCCAACTTATGCACCAGCCTCTTATGAGGTACTGTGTCAAAGGCTTTTCAACAGTCCAAGAAAATGCAGTCTGCCCACCCTTCTCTTTCTTGCTTAATCTTTGTCACCTGGTCGTAGAATTCTATTAAACTTGTGAGGCAAGATTTGCCATCCCAGAATCCATGTTGGTTGTGCATCACAAAGTCCCTAGTCTCAAGATGCAATACTAGGCTTTCCTCACAATCTTCCCCATCATCTTGCATGGTTTACAAGTTAGAGACACTGGCCTGAAGTTCGCATTAGCTGTCTTCCATGTTTCAAGTGGATCTCCAATATCCAGTGACTTACAACTACACACAATTTTATATATTATATATATATATATAAAGTATTATACATATATATACATACACAGTATACTGTATATATGGGGAACTTCTTGCCATGTTCACGGCCATTCAACATTTTCACCTCAAGGGGCAAGAATTTTATGTCCTCACAAACCACAAAGCACTCACGTACACACTGACAGCCAAGGGCGATTCTCACTCTCCTAGAGTAGCCCGCCACCTAGGATTCATCTCCCAATTTACTTCCGAGATCAGCCATGTCAACGGAACTATCATCATCATAGTTGATGCACTGTCTCAGCCCACCTTAAGCTAGGTCCTATAAAAACTTTGCTCAGGTGGACGATTTTGTAATCGCCAAGGCCCAATGTGAATACCCAGAGCTGCAGCTAATATGAACATCCAACACAGCTCTCCAGTTCATCGATATTCTCATGGAAGGTGGTGGTAATAGCCTTTGACACCTCCCTGATGGGAACTCTTAGGTCCTATATTCCTGCCCAGTTTTGCTGGAAAATATTCTCAGCAATTCACTTCCCTAGCACACCCGGGGGTACATGCTTCCCAGAATCTACTAAGTGTTTCGTGTGACCAGGAAATAATGACGATATTTGATATTAAGTGGTCCCCTTATGAGGCACCACTTAAATTGGTTTCTCAAACACTGAAGCAGGAAAACATCTTAATCACTCGCCTAAAACCAGCACACTGTAAAGCTGCCCCAGATATTTCCTCACCAATGACATACACTTTTAACCAGTTACCTGTAGCACCACCACCTGATCCATGACCAAAGATGATCCAGCTTGACCTTCCACCCTACAACTCCAGTTAGATGACAGCAGCAAAGTAGTAGTGGTAAACTTCAAGGGCTTACACGAGCAGGGCGTACAATTCACCGACCAGCCAAGTTCCTTGATCAAGTATCTTTTCATAGCCTGGGAGGGTAAGTACGGTAACAACTATATTAACAGTACAGTAATATATTTGCTCCTGATTCTCGGAAGTTTCATAGCGATATTACCTGGTTGATACCTGGTTGATGGGGTTCTGGGAGTTCTTCTACTCCCCAAGCCCGGCCCGAGGCCAGGCTTGACTGTGATAAAGTATTTGAAATTTAAATCTTGTAATGGCCTATGTAATGAGCTGTACTTAGTACAGCAAGTAGATATTTTCTAATTAGTCAAATGTAATTGCTGTATAGTTTGCCATTTGCATATACTGAAGGTGAAATCCCTGTACAGTGCTAAACACAATAAACAGACAAATATTCATCACACACAGCCCCAACTTTAAAATTTTCATAATTGTTTCTCTTTAATTTTTAAGTTTCTTGCAAGACCTTGCCAGAGGTACTCGACATGCTCGATGAAGGATCCAATAGTCAAAGTTGTAATGACTCCAGCAGGAAATGAGGGATGCTTGGGTAATTTATCCTGACATTTATTGGCATAATCTCTGGCAATCATTTTGTTTTCTTTGTTCCCAACAGTACAACTTTGCTAAAAGTAAAAAAAATACAAATATATTTAAATGGCCTATAAAAGTGATTAAAAAAATCAAAGTTTTTATTTTCTCAACAACTAAAGTCTCACTAGAGGAACTCTAGAACATAATAGGGACATCAGGGTCAGAAAATTATGATTTACTTAGTCTTGTAAATAACCTCTTGAAGAACTATGAAAGCAGACCATATAATTTTACACCTTATTTTTTATACAATTTATTCGAGTAATTGTGGTGGCCAAGGAGATCATGAATTGACGATGACCCCTTTTTGAGAGTCAAGACAATTTTTCTATAAAGAGCCACTTTGAATACACTATATATCTTATAGTGCCTATTCATTCAATAATTGGGAAAACTAAAGATGTAAAAAGAGACAGAGTTTATGGAAAGAAAACTTTACTGAATGCATATGTACAATATTGTACAACATAAATATTGATGGAACCTGTAATAAAGAGTACACTTTGCTTTTGCAGTAGAAATCCTTTATCATTTATATAACATGGGAACTCATATTAATAGTAGACATATACAATGTTTCTAATTAAACATGAAAATACACAGGTGAAGCTCCCTTTCCATTGTTGTAAAATAAATTCTTAATAAGACTCAATTTTCCAAAATCTTTTAGTCTAAAATATCCATTAAAAGCGAAGCTCATATAAGAAATGCATAGTAAAAGACAAGAATTTAATACTTGTACATCTGCTACAAGACGGTCATTAATATACTCATGAAAGTGAAACAGTACTTTTTCATAAACTCATTCATAATGAGTAGAGTGGCTTAAAAAAATGCTATTATCCCTATCACAGAATGTTAGAAAAGTTGCCTGTAATCGAGCCTATGTAATTGAGGACCTTGCCATGGAATTAAGTTGTTGCTAAACTCATTACTCGGAAAACAAAAGTTACATCTTCAATGCAATCCAAGAGAAAACGCCTCGCCTCCACCAAAGCAATAAATATAAGCTTCATTACAGACAACACAGGTCAAGCATTTTTCATCCTGTAGTAAAACAGACCTTTGCTGAAGAAATTACCTCCATCAGTATCAGACTAATTTACTGCAAGTTAAAAGATAAATAGTACTGCCACACTGAGGTTCATAAAATTCAGGTTAACTCTTTCATTCTGCAATAGCGAGATCCTTCCCGTTTAAATTTCAACACAGATATAAAATGACATCTTAGCATTGTCGGCAGTGATCAAAGGAGCACCTGTTTGATTGACTTATAAGTTCTAAATCAAAGTTGAAAGTACTAGGAGATATATTTAAAATAAACAGTGATTATAAGCTGTACTTCAATATTCTATAAGGTTCACAGTTCCATACAAAATATGAAATGTGCATAATTGGTTATGGTGAATGTTTTAGAAAAGTGAACCTTACTTAATCTTGTGTAAACTAATAACCTCTGAGCTTATCACATCGGACTGGATACCAGCTTTGACACACATCAAACACACTGTGTTGAGTCAAGTGTTAGTAGGTCCCCAGGTAACAATAATAAGACTCAATACTATCTAAAAATTCATCCATACAACTATAATCTTTACAAAAATTAAAATAAGTAACAAATCTATAATCATGATTTACCTTTTCAGACTAGGTAAACAGTTATAGTATATAGTTCTAAAATGATACAAAAGTTTCCTTGTCAACCTTGTATGTCTACTATACTTCCGAATACATACTACACCCATCCATTCATTTTGTGCCCAATATCCAGAAGCTGTTTGGTGTGACAAAAGTTCACTTGAGCGAGGATCCAACCTCAAAGGGTAAATAAGGATAAAAAAAAATTAATTAATTATGTTCTCGAGATATAGAATGTCACATTAAAAGGAAAGCCGTGATAAAAATTATTTTTCTATCCCAACATCATTTGCAAACATCCTAGTCTTTGGCAGGCTGGGTTAGCTTCCTGGTGCTGACGGGGCATAATGAGGGAGAGTCGACGAAAATGGAAGGGTGGTTTCAACTGACCAGACGTTTGGCCTAGGGCTGCAGGTTACCATCGCAAACATGCTCATACTTAACGCCATGTACAGTAACAGATACCAGAAAATGTGTGTGCTGATTTGAGAGGTATTTTATAAAATAAAGAAATAAATCTTTGTATACAAAAAAGAAAACTGAAATAGTTATATATTTTCACCAAATGAAAAAAATTTATAATGTTAACATACTTATACTGCAGACTGACTCAACACAATGAATAACTTGGGGAAATCACAAATTTTTAATCTGCGACTACACTGCCGTGAGTGCAGAGGTCAGGGTAATACTATACATACAGTATATAGGATAACCAAGACACATTGAGGAGGTTGGAACAGTATGCGATGGCATCATGCAATATTCATCCAGGCCTGAATTCAATACTCCTCTTCATCCTCATCCTTTGGTATTCGCATAAATGAAGGAAGAATTGGGTAGCCAACAACACAGTTCCTGGATTTATGACCCATGCGCAGCTCACGGACTGAAAAATACACAAAACTAAAATTATAATAAAATCAAGTAACATTCTTGCTCATAAAGATTGCTAAAGTTGGCACAATACAATATCTAAAAATTTGCACTTTAAAAATTTAATGTCGGTAAACTTCAATTGCATAAAATTATGTTTAAAGTACAGTACCTTACTTCAAAGATTTAAATGTACTGTACAGGGTAATTACAGTATTATATACAAACTATGACATTTCTTCAAAACAAAGGACTAGGTAGGGCACATAAGGCAGCACACCACACAAGGTTCAGGAATATTTCAAGCTAGGGCATAACATATTATGGTGGTTATCACAGTAATGAATATCACCACCACTTGCACAGGACTAGACATAAAAACAAAGCAATACGACAGAGAATGAGACCATGGAACACGAGGAACAACCTTGAATTTATGAAGGCATTTACCAGTAAACCTATGATAATTATGAGTGAAAATGCTAGAAATTATTCTACTAACCTCTTGGTTTAGGTTTTCAATCTCCCCAACAGGAAGAGTCAAACTGTAGGGGGGTAGGGCTCTGTGGCATAAAGTATAAAAAAAAGACTACTAATAGTCTTTTTCACAGGATATTCAAAAGGTACCATATTTCACTCAGGATGTGAAGATGAGAGCAAAAAGCCATAAGACTAGCACTGCCAACAGTATCAGATTTACTGAAGATTTTATCAAAGTACAAGCCCTGTTTTATTCAAAAGCCCCACCCATTCTAGGATGATGCCATTTAACACTAAGAGACCTCTGTCACTCGTCTGCCATATTTTGACAAAATCTTGAGTCCCTTAGTTTCCTTCCAGGGCATTAGTAAACAGATGTAGACCATATCAGGTGCATCACCATCCAATCACTGAATGCAATTGGTAGTCATGCTAGGAACCACTATATCCATGTACAGTATATATTTGCATGCAAAATATGTGCTTTGCCATTATAAGGTTTAGGCTTATATGTATGCATGTAAAGTAAGTGCACACATGCACACTTGTGCACAACCATGCAAGCATGTGTACACACACACACACACAACCAACAACACGGACACTGAGATGTATGCCAAATTCTATGAAATATATGATTCAGGCACACAAAATTTATACCAAATCATAGAAACAGAAAACAGGATTAATTCAATAGAAATTGTGAGAGGGGCCAGAGAGGAAAAGATAAGAAAATGAGTACAAGAGGCCTACCCTCAGACATACCAGTACTACAAGCAAGCAAAAAACAATTACACAACAGTGAGGAGAGAGGCAGAAAGTAAGTTTGGAGAAAGGTATAGCAGACAAATGTAAAACTGACACAGGGCTTTTCTATAAATTCATTAAAAACAAGCTGCATGTAAAGGATAAAATCCAGAGACTGAAAATGGAAACAGGTTTACCGAGAATGAAAAGAAATGTGTACTGCGAAACACTAAATGAACAGTTACAAAGTGTGTTTGTACAAAATGAGGTTTTCAGAGAGCTTTACAATGCCAATTCCAGAGAACACCATAGAGTACATAGGGGTATCTCAAGATGAAGTGGAAATTTACTCAAAGGACTAGGAAGAAATAAAGCAGTTGGATCAGATGGAGTTTCACCTTGGGTTCTGCAAACATGTGCAACTGAGCTGAGCATTCCAAACAAACATAGTTACAGTCTACAAAAATGGTAGCCGAGAAAACTTTCCAAATTAATGACACATACTGTATCATTAACAAGCATAGTAGTAAAAACACTGGAAAAAATAGTTAAAACCAAATGAGTAGAACACCTGGAGAGTAATGACATGACAGACAGACAGTATGGTTTTTAAAAAGGAAGATCCTGTGTAACAAATCTATTTAGTTTTTTATGATTGAGCCACAGATATTCTACAGGAAAGAGATGGTTTGGTTGACTGTGTCCATCTGGACCTAAAAAAGGCTTTTGACAATCCTACACAAGAGCTTGTTTTAGAAACTGGAACATGCTTGACGTATGAACTACACTTAACTATTTACACACCAGTATATATACGTACATTTCCAAAATTATACATACTGGTAATGAATACCACTATTGACAATACATGTGAGCACAAAAAACAAAAAAAGTGAGAGAATTAAAATAAACAGACCAAGTTATTCCCTTGCAGCACCTCACCTCATTACAGTACCACCAAAAAATTACAAAACATCTCCAAGCCACTACAGCTAAACTACAAGAGGAAGACTTCTTTTCATGGAATTTTGTTCTTCCTGGATGCTAATTAACAGTGTCAAAAGAAAACAAAAACACATTCAGTACAAGCTCTAGTCTATAGCACAGTGATCATCACATGAAGATATATTTGGCCAGGTTTCCTTACACCTGATATCTCTGTTCACCATCAAGCAGTAATAGGTGCCTGGAAGTCGGGCAACTGTTGTGGGGTTATATCCGGGCGAAGATTAATCATTGGATTAGGACGAACCACAATAGGCCTAACAGGCTACCCGTCTTCAACAATGGGAAACCATTTTACGCAACAAAACCGTAAAATAATTGGTAAATAGTTATCCAAGGTTGTCACTCAATGTATAAAGATAAATGATCCATGGTAACAAATCTCAATCATCTGCCTTGCATTAAGATAATCTAGCAGCAGCAGCAAAAAAAAAAAAAAAAAAAAAAAAACTATGGGCATTAACATTTAATATAACCTAACAACATTAGATTTATGTGGAATAAGAGAGATGATTGAAGGAAAAAACAAATTCACACTGAAATAAACTTTGGATGAAAAAAATATATATAAATTACGTACTCTCTAAAGAACTACAGTAATATGTAATAAAATATTGCCTTATAACAAATAACAATTGCACAATCACTTGGGAAAATAATATATACATAAACATACATGGAAGTCTACAATAGAACTGTCTATCAAACAGAATGAGGTTCTAAAATTATACTGTAGCTTCAAACTACTGGGGGGGGGAAGATGGAATAACGCGAGCAGGTATCTGGATTTACCCATCCACATGCACAATGTGGCAAACACCAAGATGGGCTATGCCAGATGAACTTGATAGGCCATCAGCAGTCATCTTATACATTACAAAATAAAAATATAAACTACAGTATTGTTTATTAAGCTTTAAGAAAATTTCACAGGTTTAGAAAATCAGAAAATTTGCTTAATATAAAAAAGCCTTACAACACAGCTGGCAATCCAGGTGGGGGTGTGGATATATGGACATTAATTACACAAACTTTATTTGAGGGATGGTCTGTTTGATCACGACAATGATGACTAATATGCTCTTTCATCGTTTACATTATTCTTCACTAAAAAGGGTTCTAATAAATATAGTATTTCAAACTTCACACAAGGAATTGATTTAAGCACACAAAACCAAGCTCACACTTATAACCAGTATCCATAGTTATTAAGCAGTAATCATGATACATGTCGGCAACACAATAATGGAACACAAAACAAAAATCTACTTACAAAATAAACTGCAACATCTGCCCTAGTTACAAAAATGCTATGGCAGAAAACCAATCAATATGGAAATCATAAAAAGAGGCAGACACCAGAATTATGTGGCTCGGTTATAAAAAGATGAAGCATGTCAAAACTTTACTCATTAGTGCCTAGATCTGAGTTATGTCAGAAAAATCCAAAGACACCATTGAAATACTCTACCCTTTATGACCAAGATGAATAAATAGGAAATTCCCCTTATGAAATGATAAAATGTTACAAGACAAGACATATTTTCTTCACAATTTTACAACCAAACAGATTTATACGAGCAGAACTGTTAATTACTATGAAGAGTGCACATTAAACAATCGGCAAGATCCAAATCAAAATGTAATTTCAAATGCCTAGTTTAAAAGAACCAACGAAAAAATTGTTATAACTTGTATTACTAAATAGACCTGGATGTCATACTGCAAGATTTATCATTACACAGAAAAAGCATAAGACAGACATTGTAAAAATTACTCGCTTCAAAAATCATTAAAAGCTACAAATTAATAAAAATCTTGAAGCTTTTAAAGCTTGAGATGATGATGATGATGGATAAAAAATGCAACATAATGAGAATGCTAAAGGAAAGAAATGAAGGTCTAGGAAACAATCTAGATTGCCAAAGAATTGTTTACATTAATAAACAAAGCTACTTTGAATACAGTTTAATTTTAGTAATATCTAATACAGTACTGTACTGTACACTTAAATATTGTTCTCTCTTAATATTGTATGAATAAAGTATATGCAGTGGAATAAGGAAACAAAAATTCTATTGCATATCAAAATTTCTAGGAAGACTGATTAGGACAACTACATAAACTTGCTGAAGACGTCTTAATAGCTACCACCATGTAACACTCGACCATCCACATAAACTTATCATGGTTCATATAGGGCAAAATAAGTTATCTAGAATGATTACCGGAAATAGTTTGAACAGTTTCTATCAAAATAAACATCATCCCTCAAAAGATTAAATGAACCATGCAATCATTTCCTTACGAAACAGTTTAAACAAAGAACGAAGGCACAAAGGTTTGTACTAGCTGAGGGCCAACATATTGTATAGCAGAAATGGGGTAATTACTTATGTGTAGTTACAAAAGAACTAAGCCCATGGTGTTCCGTCTTCCCAGTACTCTGTCATATAACGCTTTGAAACTACTGACGGTTTTGGCCTCTACCACCGTCTCACTTAACTTGTTCCAGCCGTCTACCACTCTGTTTGCGAAAGTGAACTTTCTAATATTTTTTCAGCAGCTTTGTTTAGTTAGCTTTAATCTATGACCTCTTGTTCTTGGAAGTTCCAGGTCTCAGGAATTCTTGCATATTAATTTTGTCAGTTCCTGTTACTATTTTGTAAGAAGTGATCATATTGCCTCTTTTTTCTTCTTCTATCATCCAGCTTTGACATATTTAATGCCTCTAACCTCTCCTCGTAGCTCTGGTCTTTCAGTTCCGGGAGCCATTTAGTT